GAATTGTCTGTATTCTTGCTGCCTCACTATCCTGCCACGATTTCTTCGATTTCTTAATTGTGGCCTCAATTCCTAGTTGTATCAGCTAATACGGTATTTGTTCCGGAAGTGTAACGCAAATAGCAATTCCTAGTTGTATCAGCTAATACGGTATTAGTTCCGGAAGTGTAACGCAAGTTATATCCTGTGAGATGATCGTGTTTTACTCGCGCTGGAACCTGATATCCGGAGCCGTCAGTTTGCGGGTTTTCTGCCTCCACGTATCTCCCACAGAGGGAAACTCCCCGGACTGACAAGCACGAAGCTTGCGACTGGCCCCCCACACGTGTGGTAGTCTAGTGCATGTGTGTACTAGAGTAAAGTGAGAAGGGGAAAGGAAGAGAAACGAAAAATCTTGCGTGTTATGTGGCTCGTTTCTTAGGGCACTGGCCTAATGTTCGCCTGGTTTTCATAGGACAAAACTCCCAAAGCCAACTTGTCAAAAACGCTGCAGTAGAACAATTGTTGTCCTGAGCTTTCTCAGCCTATACTTTCTTGAGAGACGATTCTTTAATGCACAGCGGTTAGTCAACGAATAATTTTTTTGTTTTAAATCGCATTCCTGTGCTAATGGCGAATCGAATTTGTAAGCGTATTGTAAAGCCCTATTGTAGAGAAAATATTGTTTCTAATACAAAAATTAAAATATAGACTGGTGTGCGAAGAACGGCAGCTCTGTATAAGGATGATTGCGTGTGACCTAATCATTTGAAATCGATATCCGAAAGTCATTCTCGATGGCCACGACACATGAACTGAGAGATACAGCATGAAACATCTTGCAAATTTCTCGAAATACTTTCTTTGAGAATACATACCTTCGAGATAGAAATGTAAGGACTTATGGGCAAATACCGAGCGAAATTATCTTGTCTTCACTTTACCGTTCGATATTTCGTTAGTTTAAAACTTTTTTGCTCATTCATTAGCGAACACTTTGCGAATTTTCTTCGAATTTGGCATGAATGTTTCGTTAAGTAATTAAAAGCGACGTATGAGAGAGTTGCTTAAAGGGCTTCTGTTCACAGAAGAATTAGTGTGAAGAGTATAGACGTATATAGCCTGTTGGTGGTTGAAAGATATGTAACTCTTGTAATTAAAAAATGTGTTCAACTATATTTAGATAGTGTAATGGTATCTGACACTTTTTTGGTAGCTTTATGTAATAGTGTTTGCTTCTTTTTCATTTTGTATAGCCCTGAGGATGGAGATACATTTTCCGAAACAAGCAACAATATCTTAATTTCGTTTTGCACTTACTGATCAAGCCCCGTTTACCTGATTCCAGTACTACCTAAGAAGTTCATTACGAAGGTTATAAGAATAAAATATCAGTAACTTAAATGCAAGTCGCATGAAATTAATAACGACCGAAATGGTTCGTCAAAGTATGATTTAAAACCACAAAATAGATAAAAGATAGATAATTTAAATCTAAAAATATAAATATGAATTGGGCACACTGGAGATATTTCTTTTGGTACCACTCAATCCAAACAATATACCTGATTAAGACGAAAAGCCATAACATGTTGATCGAGTCATATTAACTACATCAATTCTCTATGCTAAAAGGGAGGGAATCGCAAGAAAGGAAGAAAATTACAGCTGTTGTGAGGCAAAATAACTTAGACATTAATGAACTCTGTGACTTCTTGTGGCCCGCGAGACGGTCATGAGACTTTCGACATAAAAGATTACCAAACGAAGTCACCAACATAAATATTCTGTACTCTTTGCAAAAAGTGTGTTTAACAACCTTACTCTCCTATATAAAGAGTTGTATACATTTAACTATCAAGAACGAGTGTCTCACATGGAATTAGTTATTATTATTATTATTTCAGCCACAAAGAAACGATTGTCCCGGCACTGAATACCGATAAACTCTATTCATACATTCCATTCAACGTTTTGCATTCTTATTTTAGAGAGTATAAACTAACAGTAACAAAGTACAAATACAGCTAACAGCATTACACGTATGAATTGTGCATGGAGAAATTTAAGAGGAGAGTTTTCACATTGACTTGTAAAGTGGTCAAATCACCTGCTAAACGACTTTACTGATGTGAGAACGTGCAGAAGAAAGGCAAGACGGAGGATGGGTGCTGTAAATTAATACGCAAAACGCGCTTCTCAGAATTTATGAGCGAAGTAGGACGAGTTCTTTACGGCCAGCAATATTCCCGGCACTACATTTACGGCGAGTTTATCTTTATTCCTATGAATAACTTAGCATCTTTGCATGAGCCATAATTTTCGTAAATGATTTTCGTTCTAGCACGTTTAGAGCGCCCAAAGGTTTTGCGACCATCTTGGGACAAATAAAGGTCTTTCGGAACACAGAAACACTTTCTTTCGGACCTTGTAAGAAGAAATGTAATTTCATACACCAATTTCTCGCCTGCGAAGAAACTAATCTGAAATAAGGCCATCTTTTTTTTTATATATATATATATATATATATATATATATATATATATATATATATATTATTACATTTGGTTTTCATTACAGAGTTAAATGATATGCGATGCATCAGATCCAAGATTTGGACGGTCTAATTTGCTTTCCGTAAGCGGAGAAACGGCATCTAAACTTACGTAGTCATATTACATTATGTATTAATATTCGTATGAACAACGTTTGTTAAATATTTGACGATACAAAATCATCCTCAATCCCAAATCATTGGGGTGACCATTCATTTGATAAGGTGCAGCATACCGGGAAGTTTCCTTGAATATATCCCATATATTAAAATACATTCAGGGTGGAATCCCCACGGTGATAATACTCGTCATCATAACACAAGATAATTAACGATTAGAAATTAAACATTTCGGCTCCGCATTCAGAAAAAAAACATTTTCTCCTCCAATCGGTACTCCAGGATGAGAACAACCTAACTGTCGTAACGAGCTGTTTCGAATTTTATGATTCTGGCGTTGCTGCGAAAGCATCGAGCGGTTTCGTTCTCGGAGAGTCGGATAATGGGGGCTTCATTTTTAGGATTTTTACAGCTATGGTCAAGTGAACAGGGCACAAGGTCGACGAGGAAGTTGTTATCTCCTTCCGCACAACGTTCTAAGACGTGATACATAATTTAGGGAAACGTATGGCTCATGCGGTTGTTATTTATTATTCAAATAAAAAGAAAACGTTATCAGGAACGTCAGTAATACGAATGGCCATTAATATTGCATCAGGAATTATAAACTTCTGATGATAAATAACATTCAGGTTAATTAACACTGCCACATTTCAAGTTATGAATCGTACTTCCTGTAACTATTTTATTTCCATTCCCCGTTATCTGACGTGCTATTGACATCAAACCACTCACGCGGTTCTCGCGTGCTTCGAACGCCTCTCGCTTCCGATGACATGCATGGCGTTGCCAGTGAAGTGTTGGTGGTGATGGTGTTGAAGTGATCGTGTGGCTGGTGATGGTGTTGGTGGTGATGGTGATGGTGGCTGTGGTGGAGGTGGTGGTGAAGGTAGAGGTGTGGCAATGGCACTAAATGTGACAATGGTGATGTCGTGGTGATGGTGTTAGGAGCGACGATGGTCTTGCTGGTGATGATGGAGGTAACGTAGGAGGTGGTAGTGATGGGATGGAGGTGAGATAGGTATTGAGGTAGGGGATCACTGTGCGAATGGTGATTTTGATGGTGATGGAGGTAGAGGTGGTGACGGCGACGATAGAGATGCCGGCGGTGATGGTGGTGGAGTTGGTTTTTGGCGCGGGGGCGATTGTGGCTATGGTAGATGTGGCGTGTGGGTTGGGTAGATAGTGGTGTTGGTGCAGGTGGCGATGGTGGAGGACGGTGACGAGACGGTGACGAGAGGGTGACGAGAGGGTGACGAGAGGGTGACGAGAGGGTGACGAGAGGGTGACGAGAGGGTGACGAGACGGTGACGAGAGGGTGACGGGACGGTGACGGGACGGTGACGGGACGGTGACGGGACGGTGACGGGACGGTGACGGGACGGTGCCGGGACGATGACAGGGAGGTGGTGTCGGCGACGGCACCGCCCTCAAAATACGCATTTTCCGCCTAAAAATTGTTCATTGCAGCATTACATAACTTTCTGTATCATTTATGAATTATACCGGCTTGCAGTTAATGCAACTTATAAAAATACGAATTTTTTATTTTATTTTTACATTAATAGAACAAAACACGCTTCAGATCTAGCATCAGTCGCATTTTCCCAGAATTATGAATTTTTGGCAGGTTTCAAGTTTTGAAAAGAAATAA